GGCCAGTGACTATGCAATGATGAGGGCTTGGCAATCAGGCCTAGGGGGCAGCACTGCCCCCGGCAGATTGCGGTGGGGACAAGACCGTGCAGCAGGACAGGGAGCCTGGGTGGGGGCGGGGAGTCCAGGCGCCGAGACCCTCCTTCCGCCCACCCGCAGCAGGTTCTGGGCACAGCCACCCCGTTCCCCAGGCCCTGCAAGGCAGGCAAGAGGGTCACCCCACTGGACAGATGAGCAAGGGCCCTCCAAGAAGGCATGTGACCCTCGCATCTCACACAGCCAGGGGCGCTGGGGGTGGGGGGTGTGGGCTGGCAATGGCTGGCTTCATCCCACTCGGCACCTTCTGAATAAGAAAAACCAGTCTTTCTTTTTACAACTCTGCCTCCCCTTGATTATAAGATGCTACAAGGCAGAGCCAGATCCTGTGTTCACAGGGAACCTCCGGGGCTCAGCGCTGACTCCCTCCCAGCCCCTCTCCCCGCTCACTCCTCACAGGTGGGTGAGCAGCCTGTGAAGGGTTCTGACTTCGCCCACATCTGCAGAGCAGCTCTACATTGTACCCATTTTACAGATGAGAAAAGCAAGACTTACAGAGATAAGACTATGCAGCCAAAGGGTGCCAACAGCCATCATCTGGCAAGCATTTAGAGAGTGCCGAGGGTGTGCGGGTGTGGTGCCCACCCTAAGCTAACGTGACCACAGGAGGGTGTGGTCCCTGCCCCTGGGACTCCTGTCACGGAAGGGCCGGACCTGTGATGGGAGTGATGATGGGGTCTGAGGATCACCTGCATGACCCAGCCCCCGCCGCCTCCCCCGCCTTGTCGTGGACCCAAACCTCCTTAAACCAGACAGGCCAGTAGCACTGAACTACCATGGCCCCCAGACAAGCCACACCGTCTCCCTGCCTCTCACTCCTCCCATCCCCCAGACTGGAATAGGGGTCTCTCCTCTGAGCCCCGGGGCTCCCCATTCCTGGCACAAGTCGGCTTCCTCGTCCTTCTGTCTGCCAGGCCGGGAGCCTGCTGACCTGTCTAGTCGCTGCTGACCTCCCTGGCCCTGGCTTGCTTTGGGCGCTCGGTGTTTGAACACAAGAATAAGTGTGTGCCACTGCGGGAGGCCTGGAGGCTGCTGGGTGACCTTGGGCACATCCCTGGCCTTCTCTGAGGCTGCCCTGCCTGCCTCCAGGGATTGAAGGGCGCTGGCATGATGCTGGGGGAGGGGGGCAGGGGTGTATGAACTGTAAAGTGGCCCTGGGGACAGGGCTGCTGAGTTCCACCCTCGACACACAGGTCTCTCCAGGAAGCAGGCTCTGGTGAGCGTGTCCAGCCCCAAGGTCTCAGGGCACAGCTCCAGGTGCCCTGTCCTCCAGGAAGGATCAGGTGGCGTTGGCGCTCAAGGCCTGGCAGTTTGGACAGGGAGTCTAATGAGGATGGATGGTATCCGGGGCTGGAGAGGCGGCAGCCAGCTCCTTCCCAAACAAAAATTGAGTTTCTGAGAGATTCCGTGTGGCAGGGGAGTGATCCTGACAGATGTTGAGAGGTTCCTGGGAAAAGATTGCTTCTGATGGAGGCCCAAATGGATATTAACGCTCACTGGCCATGCAAGCACTTCTCAGATGAGAACGGCCTCTCTCCCAGAGACCCCGGAACCAGGTGTCTGAGCGCCAGGGCTGGGGCGGAGTTCCCCATCGACTCCCCTCTCATCGCCCCTGAAGCCGAGGCGGTCGGAATGACCCGCCTCCCAGCCCAAATCCTGATTGACTTCCCGGGAGACTGGCTTCACGTCCACCGGAGTGGAGGACGCATGGCCCGCTCCGGCATCCTGACCTTTCATTCATTAAGCCTGTCCTGACCCTGAACTCTGATTTCTGGGTTCGGCTGGTGCCTTCTCACTGTTCCGCCCGCCAAGGGGTTCCCTGAAGCAAATGCCATAACTCAGACGTTCTCAGCGTTAGGAAAACAAAAGAGCTTTTATCCCCCAGAGCAGCTCCAGTCCATTTAAAAGCTCGCCTCTGGAGCTTGCAGACAGGTTTAGCGATGTGTCTGTCTTTGGGGTCTTGGGGGGATTCTCGTCTGTTCTCACGCTGGCTCCTAACACAGCAGGCTCTTCCCGGCTGGTGGACTCGCCCCTCCACCGCCCGCCTGTGCGGGCCTCCCCGCGTCCTGCCTCTGCTGAGGATGGCTGACCCCTTTCAACACTGACCCAGGCTGCCTATACCCTGCCTCCCCGCAAAACTCCCCGCCAAGAGGCTTCCCTCTCTCCTGTTTCTCGGTCACTTGTTTGGTCTGATGTTAAGTCCCTTCCCCGGATGTTTGCGGGCCTAGACATCAATACACCAAAAATAGTCAACACCAAGATCCCGGGCGAGATGTGTCCTGCACTCAGCGGCAATAGTCCTGGGGCAGTGGGGTTCTCACCGGGCCACCCCCTGGCCTGGTCTGGGGTCTCTGTTCCTGGCTGAGCAGCCCTGACTGGCATCTCTGGCCTCCCAGTCTCTCTCCAGCACACTCCTTCTCAGCCGAGCCCCCCACTTTCTTGTGCTTGCAGTTAAGAACTCTAAGGATACAGGCAGGCATCCCCATTTCACAGCCGAGGAAATGGGGGCTCAGAGAACCGAGGTAAGTTGCCCCAGGTCACACAGCAGGACTCAGAGCCATGCCTGGGGAGGTCTGTGGATGACGGAGCCAGAGCGCGGAACCTCTGGGCTCCCCACCTCTCTGACATCTGCTGTCAGGGCCCCATCAGAGACCTGAGGACTGAACGCTCATAGCACCTCCTCCCTGTCCCTCTCGCCACTGCCCAAGGATGCACATCGCCAAGTCACCCCTCGTGAAGCACAGCCTCCATCCCGTCTTCCTCTCTTCAACACCTCCAGTAGCTCCCGAGTGTGTCCCAACCCTGCAGCCTGGGGCCGGACCACTCCAGCCTCATCTCCTCATGCACCACGAATCTCCCGGGCCCTGCTCCCCAGATGTGCCGTGGGAGCTGCATTAGGTTGCCCCCTCCTCCTGGAATACCTTCTCCTTCATGCCCGCACTCAGAAATCCTCCCCGCTGTAATGGCTCATGAGAAATGCCCCCTTCTCCACGAAGCTTTACCTTCATCTCTACTATAGTGATTTCTTCCACCCCCAGTTCCCCCCGGCCTGTAAATTCCTCGGGAGGACTGGGACAGGGGCTTCCCCATCTCTCTGCTTCCCCAGAACCCAGTATACAGTAGGCGCTCAAAAATATCTGTCCAACTGAAATGAAATGTGAAGCGGAGAAGCCTTTAAGAGCCAGTCCTCCTAGTCCCGCTTTCCACTGTCACTAGGTGTCCCAACCACAGCCAACTGGGGCAGGCCGGGCAGCATTCAGGGTGGCACGCAGACCTCCAGGGACAGCAGTGCAGGTTGTTCACTGCTCAAGAGCACCCAGTCAGTGGGCAGGGCTCACATCTGTTCTCCTCCAAGCCCGGCTTCCCAGTATGCACAAAGGAAGAACTATGTGTCGTTTAAAAGTGCACACAACCACTCAGCGGCCAGTGCTGGCCCTGCTAATGCCCAACCCCAAGCCTGAGCCTCAGGAGGGGGTCAGAAGTCCACCAGCGGGAGAAGGGGGCCGTGAGCTCAGCTCCCGCCACCAGGGGTCTCCAGCTCTAGGATGGGGTCAACAAACCACCACCCACAGGACACTTCCTGCCGGCTGCCTGCTTGTATACAGCAAGGAAGCTAAGAAGGGTCTGAATTTTTAAGATGGTTTTAATTTATTTTTATTTTTTAATTTTTTTTTGAGATGGAGTCTTGCCCTGTCGCCCAAGGCTGGAGTGCAATGGCTCAGTCTCGGCTCACCGCAACCTCCGCCTCCCGGGTTCAAGCGATTCTCCTGCCTCAGCCTCCTGAGTAGTGGGTTTACAGGCATGAGCCACCACACCTGGCTAATTTTTGTATTTTTAGTAGAGACAGGGTTTCACCATATTGGCCAGGCTGGTCTCAAACTCCTGACCTCAGATGATCCACCCACCTCAGCCTCCCAAAGTGCTGGGATTACAGTTGTGAGCCACAAAGCGCTGCCTTAACATGGTTTTTTAAAAATCAAAAGAAAGAAGTTTAAATATCCACTGAATAACATGTAAGGAAGAATATGACAATTTTATAACATTTACATTTCAGTGTCTACAAGCATCACTGGAACGAAGCCACGCCTGCGCCTTTTGGTTTGCTCTGTGGCTGTTTTCCCTACAAAGGACAGAGGGAAGTTGTTTTACTACGGAGATCAGAGCTTCCCTCCGTCCTCTGTAGGACTGTGTGGACAGCAGGCCTCCGAGCCTCCCTATCTGGCCCTTTGCAGACAAAGCTTGCCAACCCAGTTCTGGAAGGGGCTTCCCAGAGGCCCCTCTGGAGCTGCCCTGGGGTCTTCAAACCAGGGTATCTGCCCCATTCTCCCAGCACCTCGTGTGGTCCCGCCCCTGCCCTGTGACTGGCAGTTGGGACATCTCGCTCCTGTTTCCCACTCAAGCAGGAACCAGGAGGCGCAGGAATCAGACAGCTCCTGTCAGCCTGTAGCCGCGGGGGGCCTCTGCTCCTAGCAGCCACACTCCTCCTTTCTCTTCTGCACATGCGCCGTGTATTGGGTAGTTTAAAAAGGCGCCTGCATACAACATCCCTGGAACCCACGTTAGCAACAGGTTCCTGCTGCCACGTGTCCTCCTAGGCCCAAACCCCAACTTGCCTAGAAATCCCCCACTGGAAGAGCCATGGCTGAGGATCTCAGGGAGCCCAAGGTGGCTCCTGCCTGATGTCCGCTCCAGAGTGGGTCCCCCAGGGTCAGCTCATGGAGTCCCCCGTTCCCCTCTTCTGTAGGGGTGGGGTCAGGCCAGGCCAAAGGGCACCGGGACGGGGCCAGTCCACAGGTCCACGGTGGAGGGCTGGGTGGGAGGCTGCTCAGAACGCCCAGGTTCACGTACACAGCCTCGCGGTCCCCGGTGCCTGTCCTGCCGCCCACCCGGCCTGGGACACTCACCGTCCAGCCGCCGCCGTCTGTGCGCATGTCACAGTACACCTGGAAGCCAGCCGGGTAGTGCGTGGGGAAGACAGAGTAGACGCCATCGTCCTGCTGTCCGCTTAGGAGGACGTCCAGACAGTCCCGGGGCCGGGAGCCTGAGGCAGGCAAGGCCGTCAGGGTGGCTGCGGCCCCCAGCGCGTTCCTGCCCAGCCCCCTTGCCCACACTGTCTGTCCGTCGATAACGCGTGTGGGGGTCCCATGGGGTTGAGAGAGCACCGGCCTTGGAGTCCGACCTTGGCTCTGCCACTCCCTGCTGAGGCCGGGTGAGAGAATCACCCTCTCTGGGCCTTACTTTCCTCATCTGGAGAATGGACCAAGAGGGCTTAAGCACAGGCCACATGGAAGCAGGGTCGGGCCCTGGAAGTCTCATGGCTGGGAACCCTCACCCCAGCTTCCCCACTCCCTACAGCTGGGACCCAAGTCACCGGAGGAAGGCAGCCCCTTCCCCACTCACCAGTGGCACAGCCCCGGGGCCGGGCTCCCCGGGCAGGCGCTCTCTGAAGGTCGGCCTTGGCGCGGGGCTGGCCCAGCCCCCGGTCCCTCTGCAGGGCATCCAGGACGTCGCCCACGGAGTTCACCAGGTGGGCCATGTGGCCTTGGCTCTCAGAGAGAAGCTGCGGACACAGGGGGTGAGCCAAGGGGGCAGGGGCTCTGTTGGGGGTTGGGTGGAGCACACAGCAGGTCACTGGCCAGAGTGGGCCCTCTCCTGAGGCAGAGGTGGGCTCCTGGCTCAATGGCAGCCCCCGCCCTGCCCTGCCCCTGGGTCCCTGTCCAAGGTGGTCTGAGGGGCCAGCGGGTTATGATGGAGCCTGTGCTCTGGGGCCTCGAGGGCTGGGAGGACCGGGGAGCAGGCAGGAAGGGAAGGAAGCTCCAGCAGGCACCTGCCACCCCTGCTGCCCCAGGCTGTCTTCTTCAGCCATCTCTGTGTGCTCAGCCCAGGGAAGAGTAAACTGGAGGAGGCCATGCCGTGCGGGGAGACAGCGCCCAGTGTTGGGCAAATCCAGCTTCAGCCCAGCGCGTCCACTTGCCAGTTATAGGACTGGAGGTGAGTGTCCTCACCACGCCTCCTCTCCCCTGGCCTGGCCGAACTGTTATGGGGACCAGTGACAACACGTGGGAGGTGCCCAGCACAGCGGCAAGGACCGGCCGGGTACTCAGCACACCAAGTTCCCACAGCACCTTCCAGGCTACCAGACATCCCCACCGCTGCCTCTTCCGATCCCGAGCAAGGCTGCTGAGGCAGGAGTGATGGATCTGGACTTGACAGAGGGGTGCCCTGAGGCTGGGGAGGCCACAGGGCTTCTGGACCAACAGGTCTTCCCCATCCCACCCCCACTCCCCATGCAAACACCACTCTGAGTTTCTGTGGCTCTCTCATGTCCATGAGCTCACTGGGTCCCCCACCACGCCGCAAAGAGAGAGGACTTAAGGTTGTCATCTCTTGGGACAAATGGAGAAACTGAGGCCCCGAAAGAGAGATCCCTGAGAGTGAAGGATGGCACTGAGGGCAGGGACCAGGACTCAGGCCACTTCCCCAGGGCGGGCTGGCAGGAAAGGGGCCCGGGGCTGTGTTCTCGTGTAGGAGACCAGGGTCAGGATGGGGATGGGGTGGTGGTTTGGACCCAGGTTCTGGTGTTGACTGTCTTGTGTTTTCACTCCAATCCCTCCCCCATTCACTAGCTGCGTGACCCGGGAACAGTGTCTGAACCTCTCCATGTCTCCACTGCCTTGTAACCCAGGATAATGAGCCCTGTTTCTCTGAGTGGGGGGATTCAGGAGAGCCTGGGCTGGGGAGCTCAGCCGTTGTTCTCCATCCTTCACTCCCGCCCCTCCCTCCATCACAGCCCTGGGGTTGGATTTGGCAAGCGCGATGCTCTCCCCCAGCACCTCCACCTGTGTTGGCTGCCTGAAGGGTCTGAGGTCTGTTGCCCCCACCCTGGGCTGCAGGAGGCTGCAGGACCACGTGGAGGGTGAGGGGGTGGCGAGCAAGCTACAGCTGGCCAGCCAGAGAGCATGGAGTCGGCCAGATCTTTACACACCGAACCTGTCACTTGTCAGATAATAGCCCATTCGCGGAAGGAAAATAGAAATATACAGTGCCGGCAGTTTACAAAATATGATTCTCGGCTCATCCAGAGGCAGGGGCCCTGCAAAGCTTTTAGTTTCCTTGTCAGTTTCCCCTCGGCTGAGCAGATGATTCAGTGAGGGATGAGGTGGGGGGAGAGAGGAGCAGAGATGAGCAGGCAGAGCGTTTGGGTGTCACAGCAGCGACCTGTAGACGAGCTCATGCCCCACAGAGGGACAGAGGGAGCACCCCCCAACCAGGGCGGGAGGGAAGACGGCAGGTGGGGGCTGCCCTGCGAGGTGTGTGCGGCAAAGATCACTTGGTTAAATCACACCGGTGCTGCCCATTTATCTGAGTCAACACAGCCACAACACACTCAGAAAACTCAGGCACGGCCTCCTCCCTCTTGCTAACGGGCAGGGAAGACCTCCGTTTAAACCAGCAGATGATTAAAGTTGAAAATGTACATATAAACATGCCCCGAATTAATGGCGAAGTGAGTCTCTACTCGCCGAGCTGCACAGGCACATCAGGGGAAGGCTGGGCAGCACTTAGAGGTAGTGGCATCAAAGCTGCTGTCTCCAGCACTGCTTAGCTGTGTGAGCGAGCTTGCACAGGCACCTGCCACTCAGAGCCTCAGTCTGCCTCTCCATAAGATGGGATAACAAGGCCGGGCGCGGTGACTCAGGTCTGTAATCCTACCACTTTGGGAGGCCAAGTCGGCTGGATCACCTAAGGTGAGGAGTTTGAGACCAGCCTGGCCAGCGTGATGAAACTCTGTCTCTACTAAAAATACAAAAAAAATTAGCTGGGTGTGGTGGTGCATGCCTATAGTCCCAGCTACTCAGGAGGCAGAGGCAGGAGAATTGCTTGAACCCAGGAGGCAGAGGTTGCAGTGAGCCGAGATTGAACCACTGCACTCCAGCTGGGTGACAGAGCGATACAACCATGTCTCAAAAAAATAAATAAATGAATTAAAATAAAATGGGATAACAAATGTACCAACCTCCTGGGGTTATTGGGCTGCAAAGTGCCGTCAACACAGAGCTCAGCACGTGGTGTAGACCTATCATTCCTATCAGAAAAGGGATTTTTCGGCCCAACACAGTAATATCAGCACGTGGGGAGGCCAAGGTGGGTGGATTGCTTGAGGCCAGGAGTTTGAGACCAGCCTGAGCACCACAGCAAGACCTCTCTACAAAAACATTTTTTTAAAATCAAAAAAATTAGCTAGACATGGTGGTGCACACTGGTAGTGCCTGCTACTTAGAAGGCTGAGGTGGGAGGATTGCTTGAGCCCAGGAGGTGGAGATTGTAATAAGCCGTGATCGCGCCACTGCTCTCTGGCATGGGTGACAGAGTAAGACCGCCTCAGAGAAAAAAAAAAAAAAAGAAAAGAAAAGAAAAAAAGAAAAAATAAAAGGGAGTTTTCAATAGCAGCATGGTGGTTCCCTATAGGTTTAAATTTCAGCTCACAAACAATTTCTACTATAGTAATAAGGAGATGTTGATGGTACAGATGGTGACAGAGCCAACAAAGCCCTGTAGCCAGGCCCTCCAATATCCCCTCAGCATAGACTGTGTTATGCACCTTTCATGGGTCAGAAGAACCAGCCCAGAGAGGGGCTGCAACCTGCCCAGCATCCCACAGCTGGCACAGATGGGGCCTAGACTGGATCTAAGCTCTGTGGACTCAGATCCTCTGGGCAGAACGGCTCAGCTCAGCCATGACCAGCAGGCCTCTGGGACTACACATGAGAATCACCCCCGTCCGGGGGGCTGCAGAGGGTTGGGGATGAGGCCCAGGAACTTGCCTTTTCCTTTTTATGAGACAGAGTCTCGCTCGGTTGCCCAGGCTGGAGTGCAGTGGCGTGACCTTGACTCACTGCAACCTCTGCCTTCCGGGTTTGAGCAATTTTCCTGCCTCAGCCTCCTGAGTAGCTGGGATTACAGGCGCCCGCCCGGCTAATTTTTGTATTTTTAGTCGAGACGGGGTTTCACCATGTTGGCCAGGCTGGTTTTGAACTCCTGACTCCAAGTGATCTGCCCGCCTCGGCTTCCCAAAGTGCTGGGATTATGGCATGAGTCACTGCACCTGGCCAGGAAGTTGCCTTGTAACAAACACCTCTGGCGATTCCAACCCAAAGTGCCTGCGGGCACAGCTTCGAGAAACCCACGTCTGATCGACTGAGGGTCTGGGAAGCTTGGAAGGGAGGAGTTAAGAGCATGGCTCGCTGCCTCTGAATGAAACATAAAGACACACTGTCTCTTGAATCATCCAGTCTGTGGGGAATGAGTCAAATCAAACATTTTTGGGGGAGTAAATATGTCAGGTGAGCCGGCGCTCCTGGGCCCAGACAGGCTGTTAGTCTTGCGGGAAGACTCTGTACCTCTGCGCAGGCTATTGGGAGGGCAGGACTCTGGGGTCCCTCCTTCTAAATTCCCCACCCCAGCTCTAAGGGCAGGCCTTCATGAACGGGGCCTGAGCTGACCAGGGGCTGAGCGATTTGGAGTGAGGTAGGGGTCCCAGGTCAGCCAGAAAGTCAGGAGGTACTCCTAGCCCCCAGCCCTGCTGATGAGGCCTGGGGAAGTTGCAGCCGGAAGGCAGTCTAAACATCCCTCTACCCGGGGAAGGGAAGCCACCTTCCCATCAGTCACCCAGACAGGGTGATGAGGACTGTAATTTCTCCAGCTGCCGCCTTCAGAGACAGGGAAGGGGCCCATTGCTCATGAGCGCTGAGTGACCAAATGCCTGGTTCTCCCAGTGGCTGCTGGGAGGTGGGGCGGAAGGGGCTGGGGCGCCCAAGGGGGCAGGGGCTTGGCTCCTAGCCTCCAGGGATCTGAGTCACCGGGAGGATGTGGCACAGGGCCAGGGGCTGGGCAGGGCTCCAAGGGGGCTGGATTCCAGGTCTGACCCGGCCACAGCACCCAGGAAAAAAATCACCACCCCTTTCTGGGCCACCATTTTCTGTCCTGGAAAAGGGTGGAGGCAGAAGAGATGATCCCACGTCCCTCATCCTATGAAGGAGGAACTTCTTGTGGGTGGTGCTTCCAGTGTGGTCTCAGAGCTGAAGTTGGAAAATCTTCACCCAGATCCGCCTGGAGCTGGCTGGAGCCTGGTTTGGCTGGGGGCAGGGGTGGGGAGGGTGGAGGTGGTTTGGGACAGGCTAGGGGTCTGGCTGGGTTGCCTGGACTGGTATCTCTGTCCCTGGGAAGCTGCGGGCATTGCATGGTAGTGAACTGGGAGGATCGTGGAGAAATGGGGTGCGGCTCTCTCTGATGAGGTGGCACTGACCAGTCACGTGATCTTTAGCAAGTCACATCCCCTCTCTAAGCCTCGATTTGCTGCTGATGGGGGCACAATGCCCTGCCTCGCGTGCATCTTGGAGCACTGGGGAAGCCCTCGAGCCCTGGATTTGACTGAGTGCCAAACGCCATGGGGTGCTGTACAATTACCCAGGGTCACCGGGAAAGAAACTGGGTTTGAATCCTGGCTTCCAGTAGCTGTGCGGCCCTGGATGAGTGACTGCACCTCCCTGAGTTTCATGGGCTTGTCTGTAGATGGGAACAGCAGTAGCCCCTTGTCTGGGGCACTTGGGGATTAAGTGAGGCTGTGGACATCAGGCACCTGGCACGTGGCAGCACCAACCCCTTGCCTCTAGCAAGACCCCAAGACGCAGACCCCAGCCCTACCTGGATGAGGCGGCCCTGCTCGCTCTGCAGGGCGCTGAGGCCCTGGCCCAGCGTGCCATGCCCCTTCCGCAGCCCCATGCACTCCGTCTGCAGCTCTGAGGCTCGGGTCAGCAGCCGCGGCAGCTGGTCGGCCAGCGTGTCAAGCAGCTCCTGCTCCTGGTCGCCCACCAGCCGTGGCTGGGCCTGGTGCTCGGTCAGCGCCTCCAGCACCGAGGCCTGGGCGCTCTCCAGGCGTGCGAAGCTGTCGGCGAGGTCGGGGCAGCGCGGGTCGATGAGGATACTGAGGCGGGAGCTGTCTGCCCTCTCCACAGTGACCAGGGCGCTGTTGGCACCGGCAGCCCCAGTGCTGACGACAGGTGGGGGCGCCGTGCCTGGCGTGTGGGTGTGGTTCAGGAACAGCACGGCACCGGTGACAGCCACAGCCAGCAGCACAGCCAGGGCCAGCAGCATGGTGCACAGCATGTAACCACAGCTAGGCCGCTGCAGGCCCGCCCAGGACACACAGACATAGACAGACAAACAAACAGGAGAGAGAAGGGGCCAGCATTAGAGGCATACCTGGGGTCAGAGAAGCCCCTTCTTGGGGGCTGGGCGAGGGCGTGGCACAGAGAGACTGAGATGAGACAGGCACTGAGAGACAGTCCAAGGGGAGACAGAGAGACAGGGACACGCGCAGATGCAGTGAGAGGGACACAGCGAGCGCCTCAGGGAGAAAGTGGAGAGAGACAGGGCCCCAGAGGGGAGGTGGAGACGTAGGGAGAGACAGGGAGATGCAGGGAGAGACAGGGAGATGCAGGGAGACACAAGGAGGCACAGGGAGACGCAGGGAGATGCAGGGAGACACAGGGAGATGGAGATGGAGAGGATGGGAAATAGAAAGACAGAAAGACACAAGCAGAATGCCAAGACTTCCTTCTCGCCGCCCCTGCCGCCTGCCCCCCACCCCCCATGCCCTGCACGGTGACAGCCCAAGGACCCATGGTCACCTGTGTGTGCGGCCGTGTGGCCCCCGTGGAGCCCATACCACCCAGTAAGGGCTGGAGGTGGAGATCCCACCTCTGCAGCCAGACGGGTCAGGGCTCAGGCCTCCAAGCTGCATTTCCCACAGTGTGACCTTGGGCGAGGGGCCTCACCTCTCTGAGCCTCAGTTTCCTCGCCTGTAAAATAGAGCGATACAGAGACACCCACCTCTCTATACATGGGTCAGAGACAGCTGTGATGCAACAGCAGCGATGCTAGAGATGGTCTCCTGCTGTCTCTGGAACGAGTGCCCTGGGGTAGTGGGCACCCATCACGGAAGGTTCCTTCCAACAGCAGCAGCCACATCCCGTGTTCTGTCCCACTGTCCTCCAGTCCCCAGCGCACATGGGGGCTCCCAGGCACCTCCTCCCCGCACTCCACCCTGTCCTCTCTCCTTCCTCTACCTCTTCACAGAGCAGGCCCCTGGCAGGGCAAATGCCAACCTGCTGGGCCAGGTAGCCCTAAGGCCACCCTGGAGAAAAGGCCTGCTGCCTTCCAAGGAGGAGGGGCGCCGAGGCAACAAGTGGCTGTCACTCCAGAACAAGCCATATCTCAAAACCGGGGACGGGGCCAGGCGCGGTGGCTCACCCCTGTAAGGCCAACACTTGGGAGGCTGAGGCGGGCAGGTCACGAGGTCAGGAGATCGAGACCATCCTGGCCAACAAGGTGAAACCCCGTCTCTACTAAAAATACAAAAAATAGCTGGGCGTGGTGGCGCATGCCTGTAGTCCCAGCTACTCGGGAGGCTGAGGCACGAGAATCCCTTGAACCTCAGAGGTGGAGGTTACAGTGAGCTGAGATCGTGCCACTGAACTCCAGCCTGGAGACAGAGCTAGACTCCATCTCAAAAACAAACAAACAAACAAACAAAATGGGAATGAAGGGCAGGCGCGATTTAAAAAAAAAAAAAAAAAAAAACCGTGTTGGCCAGAAGCCAGGGCCGAGGAACAGCTTGTGGTGAACGGAGGTGCCAAAGTGTGACTGCATACGCTCTCGGAGGCCCAGATTCACTGGGCAGACTTGCTCACAGCCCCTGAGCATTACACACAAGGGAAAATTGAGGCCCAGAGAGGGCAAGGGGCTCTCCCAGAGTCACACAGCAAACAAAAGCAGAACTGGGTTTAGGCCCCAAGCCTCCTGCCTTCCTCCCCAGGCCAGGCCCCTCCTATGATTGAATTTCCTCAACTCTCAGACACATTTTCCCCACATTTTCAACTTTCTGAATTTGAGACTTGTCTTTAAATGACTTCGTATATTAAAGCGCTTGAAGCCGTGCCTGGCACGTTGTGCTTGCGCAATAAATATTAGTGGCTTTTATTATCCCATGATCAATGTGCACACAGCATCTGGAGGACGTTTTTTTTCCACCCAAAGTGTTATTTCTGTGTGTCGTCAATGCTGGGATGCACCTTCTCTTTTTTTTCACGTTTTAGCATCTCCAACATGGGGGGACGTCTTACAATTGTAATGGACAGTTTGCTTGCTTTCTTAGTGATACACTGTACAGAGATAGATGCCTCTTACATCATTGTATCCTACTACCTAGAAGATGAGGCAGAGGAAAGAATCATTTTTGTAAATTCAAATTCTACAAGGACCTGCCAAATGACCTACTTGGCACCCAAAGAGGACAGGGTGGGGGGGCATGCGCCTGGACATGCAGAGCCCCAGCAAAGAGATCTGCTTTGTTTTCAGGATGTGGAAGAGTTCCTTGGCCTGTCGCTGTTGTCATGCGGCTGCCAGGACTCAGTGCTCCACGCCTGCCCGGGCCCCTTGGGGGCTACGTCCATTCCAGGCTCCACGCATCAAGACAATTTACTCCAGCCAGACCTGAATGCACAGTTTTCCTGCACCAGCTCTGCACAAACTGCTCCCTTGGCTAGCCAGGAGCATCCGCTTCCCCTCCTCCTCTTCCACTGGCCTAATATATTCTCTTCCTTCAGGGCTCAGCTAGCTGTCACTTCCTCCAGGAAGCCTTCCTTGACTGTTTCCCCTCCACTCCCCCCAGCTTGGAGGGGCTCTTCCTCTGTGCTCCCCCCGTGAGGGTGCTTACAAGACAGATTGTTGTGGCCTTCAACTTCATTCACTCAATCATTCATTCAATCATCTATTCCACATTCACTAGATCTCCCCATGACCAGGCTGTGGGCCAATCCTGAGGAGGTATCAGGGGACCAGTCAGCTCCAGCTCCTGCTCTTGGGGAGTTCCTGTTCTATGGACTTGGATTACTGGGATTCTTTTTTTGGAAACGGGCTCTGTCACTCGGGCTCTGTCACTCGGGCTGGAGGGCAGTGGCGCGATATCAGCTCACTGCAAGCTCCACCTCCTGGGTTCATGCCATTCTCCTGCCTCAGCCTCCCGAGTAGCTGGGAATACAGGTGCCTGCCACCGCGCCCGGCTAATTTTTTGCATTTTTAGTAGAGACGGGGTTTCACCGTGTTAGCCAGGATGGTCTCGATCTCCTGACCTCGTGATCCACCGACCTCGGCCTCCCAAAGTGCTGGGATTACAGGCGTGAGCCACCGCGCCTGGCGGGATTCTTTTTTCAAGAGACAAGGACTCACTCTGTCACCCAGGCTGCAGTGCAAGGGCACAATCCTAGCTCACTGCAGCTTCAAATTCCTTGGCTCAAGCAACCTTCCCATCTCAGCCTCTTGAGTAGCTGGGACTATGCACCATCATGCCCGGCTAATTTTTTTTTTTTTTTTTTTTTTAATTTTTGTAGCGATAGGGACTCCTTACTTTGCCCAGGCTGGCCTCAAACACCTGGGCTCAAGCAATCCTCACACCTTGGCCTCCCAAAGTGCTGAGATTACAGGCGCGAGCCACCATGCCTGGTGCATAGACTGTGATTCCTGACTTTGTCTAACTCTTTCGGGGTGTCTTGTGAAAGCTGTGGACACAGCTTCTGAGGATTCAGGGACTAGTGAGTCCCAAGTTCAGGAAACTTGGGAGCCCCTCCACAGGTAGGGACCTGCTCAACACCTGGCACAGAGCAGCCCCGATGGCCGCTGCTGGGTGGACAGGCAGATGGACAGGAGGGAGCTGGCATGGGGAAGGGGTGAAGGCATTCCTGAGACCTACCTGACTTGGCAGGGCTGCCTCTGACCCTGTGCCCATCTCTGATAGCCTGGCACAGAATGGGCAAGCTTCAGGCCATCCCCAGCCCCCAGCCACCTGCAGGTCAGCAACTTACAGACAGGTGGGCGCTGCACCATCACTGCCATTCCTTGGGCATGGACCATGTTCCCATCACTGAATTCTCCAAGTAACCCCATGCAATTGAGGCTATGGTTGAATTGACGACGCAGATTGGAAAACTGAGGCTCAGAGAACAAGACCCTCATCCAAAGTCACATGGGGGAGGTGCACTGGAACCGCCACCTGGACCCAGGATTGGGGCACTCCGGAATTGCCTCAGTGCCAGGGCCACTAACTAGGCTGTTCTATGATTTCCTTCTTCTGCCTAAAGTATGGCTGGGTTTGATAGACAAAGCTCTGTGTCAGCAGCTAAGTCCCTGTCATGCACGCTTCTGGAGTCCGTCGGGAGACACCTTGCCCCGAGCAGCTCAGGGCCGCATCACCAGACTGTGTAGCATTAAGGTCCGCTGGCTGGCAAGGCTGGGGCTGGCATGGCAGACAGGTCAGCCGTCTCCCCTCTGCGACTCCCACACCCCTGCCCTATCTTGCACCCTCCTCCCACTCAAGCCCCTCCCTGGTGGGAAGGCAGAGGGCACCAAAATGGGGAGGGGCTCGAGGAAGCCGCAGGGGGTCCCCTGGAGGCAGGGAACAGCAGAGCTTGGAGATGAAACAGGACACTCAGCAGAGGAGAATTAGTCTTCAGAGATCACCTTAAAGATGAAGTACTGTTCGCTTTTATGGGCTGCCGTTTACGTGCCTTGCGAAGAAATCTGCCCGAGATAATAAGGGGGGTTCTGGGCGCTGAGCAGCCCAACTGGTGTGCCTGAGGCTGGAACTGATTCATCCGTCCTGGCGTGGCCAAGCGGGGTGCACTCCCTGGGGTCCGCGGAATTGGGAGAGCCCCCAGCTCCCAAGACAGGGCATCCCGGGCAGGTGGGCAGGAGAGAGACCAGGTCCTAAGCCGGGAGCCCCGGGTTCAAAGCCCACTTCTGCCACTGACCACTTGCATGAGCTTCCAGCTGGAGGGACTCAGCTTGGTTCCTCGAGTGACCCCCAGTGCCCACCCAGGGTTCATGGTTGCCTAAGAAGCCTTGGCCAAAAGGAGGATAAGGCTCGTGCCAGGAGGGCGGCAGGTAGCCCCCGGGGGTGCCTCAGTTATAGGGTGACCTCTGTCCAGGCTACCTTCTCTGAGGCCCCAGCCTTGGGGGTTCTGAGGAAGCGGGGTGGGGGGGGAGCTGAGGAGGAAGGGATTTGATGCCAAGGCGCTCTGCTAAGCTGGCACACCTCCCTTCCTCCTCACCTCCTAAGGGAGCTGGCTGGCAGGAGTCCCCGGGGGAGACTGGGACCACACTCCACAGATGAAAGTAAGAAGAACATCTCCCTCCAGGGGAGACCAGGCCAGGTTAGACCCAGGTAAGCGCCCCTCCTGCCACCCACCCCCATCTCCTAAGAGCACCCAGCCCAAGGCAGGCAGCTGTTGTGCATGACAAAAACACATCCTGGGGCTTTGCACTGGGAGATGGAAAGTTGGAGGTGGCGGGGTCCTGTGCACTCTGGATCCAGTAGAGGCTTGCACAGAGCCTGGGCCGGGGGGTTATGGGCTCCGTGGGTTGACAGGACTGGGCCTTGCCTCAGGCCAGAGCCTTGGGGAAATTCCTCCTGGCCCCCAGGAGCCCACTCCGCTCCCGGCTGGCACATGGCTGGGCACACGGCTCCCAGTAAAGGCTGAACTCTGAGCCCATGGCCCTGGCAGAGGGAGGGTCCCGGTGACACCCCTGGGGGTGAAGGGCTGGTGGTTCTGCTCACCATTCTGGGGTCCCAAAGACTTAGGAAGGGGGTCTGCAGGCTTGTTCTGTGAGATCTGAGCGGGAACCACCATCCCGCTGGTGGCCCTTCAGAAGAACCCTGCCAGGGCCATCTGGAGCCTCAGGCCACAGGGAGGGGCACAGGATGGGCTGAAGGTGTCCAAGGGGATAAGAGCGCCCCACAGAGCTCCCA